CACATTTTGCAAGGATTTGTGAACCATTTGTTTTTTAAGGGGTTGTTCCCACGATTGGGAAAAGATGTGGCTTTTATTTGGCCAAAAAAAATTGAATATTGTTTCAAAGAATTATCAAGCAAGGAAATGCTTGTAAAAGTTTGCTAAATGCTGCAGATAAACTGTATGATAAAGAAATTTTAAATTTGGTTCCAGCAGTCAAAATTACACCTTTTGTAGAATCCCTGAAAGCAATGGATAAGGTGGTTGCACATTGTTTTTCATCTACAATCACTGATCAACATGGGCTTAAAAACCTATTAATGCACCTCCAAAAAGTTTTTAAAGCCACTGAGTTTTCCGAAACTCTCAAAATTCATATTTTATTTAATCATCTTATAGACAGTTTGAAAGGAGATGGACTTGGAATATGGTCGGAGCAAGCAATTGAGTCTGTACATAGAGAGTTTTTAATATATTGGTCTAAATATAAATTAAACGATCTTGATGATCCCCGATATGGTAGAAACCTCTTAAAATGTATGGTAGAATTTTCTTCAAGGCATTTGTAAAACTGGTATTTCTTTACTTTTTTTAAATACTTTAGTATACATATTTGTTACATTTTTGTTCACTTAACTATAGGTAGGTAGTTTAAATTTTTGTCATTAGGTAAAATTATTGCTTAGATTTAAGTTGTTCAAAAATACATTTTTATCTATATAAATTATGTTTTTGAAATGACTTACTGATACAAATAATCTTGCTCTTTTATGAAAAAGCATATACAATGTATATGTATATTATGTATATTAGGATATACAATGTATATGTATATTATAATATACAAATATATATATATATATATATATATATGTAAATATTATATATATACATTATATATATGTATACATCATTTACAAAATTGATAAAACATCTTATCTCAAGTAAAAAAATTGAAGATCAATTTTTCTTGAGAAAACGATCAGCTGAGATTTAGTTTTTTTTCACAATATATTGAGGAAACGGTTCTTAACAAAATCCCATAGTCTAATTTGGGAGTCACTTTTATGACCGTTTTTCGATGTTGAGGGACAGTGTGTCTAACGCTTTAATAAAAGATGTACTATTAAAATCTGGTGGTTTATATATAACACCTAATGCAAGGTTTAATTTATTTTGTTTAATGCAGATCCATAGTTGTTCAAAGTTATTGGATGTATTATTAACGTTACAAGAGAAAGCATATTTTACATAAATACCTACCCCTCCACCTCTACCAGAATCGCGATGTTTTCGAATAAAATTATAATTTTGTATAAAAAGATTACTGGGAATATTCCTTGATAGCCAGGTTTCGTTTATAAATACAATATCATAATTGTTGGTTAATATGTGGTCTTTAAAATCTGAAAATTTAGGAAATAGAGATCTTACATTAAATTGGGCAATAGTGATATTATTCATTCAAATGCAGCAACGGAAATAAAAACCAGGCCAGTCGCGAGTTCTTTTAAGGACTCGCGACTGGCCTGGCTTAAAAGCGATCCAAAGGGACCGTGGGAACGCATACACATAGATTATGCGGGACCGTTTGCCGGGGCGATGTAGCTGATTGTGGTCGATGCGTACAGTAAAGGTCGCTAACTCAATGACAGCCAATTCCACCATTTCGATACTGGATTAATTATTTGCCACATATGGAACTCCTGTCACCCTAGTATCGGACAACGGGACAAACTTCACATCAATGGAGTTCAAAACATTTCTCCAAACAGTCGGCGTCAAATACCATAAACTAACAGCCTCTTACCACTGTAGTAGGTGGCCTTTCTCACGAAAAGTTGTAATTCTTCTGTTGTTGATGGTTTAGCAGTGTCTCAGATTGCTGTAATGTGCGCGTCTGATTTATGGATGCCTTCAGCGTCTATTTTATGTCCTATGAATTCTACTGATGTTGTCGCAAAACACATTTTTTTCTGTTCAGTTTAAGTCCATTCTTCCTCACTCGTTCGAGCTTGCTCCAGTGTCACCAACATTTTATCGAAGTTGCTTGCATTAATGAGGATGTCGTCAAAAAAATTTCTAACGTGATCCATATACTGCTCGAGTCGGTCGAATAAATCCATGCGTCGGGGTGTTGAGCGTCAGGGCATGGCTGAATTTTTCTACAGTCAAGTGCGAGTATGCGTCTGTGACGTCCAGGTGGCAGAATATCGTGGCTCCTTTCATCTGGTTGAAAATATATTCAGCCTTTGGAATCGGATGTTCGTCGATTATCATTCTGGGGTTGAGCGTTGGTTTGTAGTTTCCTATGATACGAATTTTACCGTTCTTTTTTGCTACAACCTGAGTTGTTCAAGCCCATTCTGACTAATCTACTTTTTCTTATAATCCTGAAGTAATCTTGTCATCGATTTTTTTTTTGTATGTGTCCCGCAGTGCCAAAGGAATTTCTCGGGGTTTGGCAAAAATTGGGGACGCTTCAGATTTTAAATGGACTGTGGCTGGTGGCACTGCGAGTCGCCCTGGTGTTTCGCTAAAAGTATCATCATAGCGTGTGGTCAAGTTGTTTTTGTTGCTCTGGGCAGTCTCGCGGGGCTCACTGTTGTAATTGTGTTAATTTTATCTGTTGTGGAAAAAAGTTTAGTGAAGTTGATTTCATGGGAAAACTGGCCAATACATTCTCTTTCCAGGAAAGTTTCAAAGTCGTCTTCCACCACGTAAAGGTTAAGTCGTCGAGTCGTTGCACCAATCGTTGCGTTAACTGAGATTCGTCCCATGCATCGAATTCGGTGACGTGTATAGCTTGCAAATTGCCTGTCAGTTTTTTGCAAATGGAAATTGGGCTTTATTTTGCGAAGGTTTTTTTACTTATAATACCACATGGCGCTCCTGTATTTAATTTCATTTTCAGATCGTGGCCATCAATTTTAACATTGATTAATTATTTCCCAGTGCCTTTAATGTGATAACTATTGCTGCATTTATTGAAATATTCCAATGAATCGACAGAATAAGCTGAAAATTGTGATTGAATTTCCCGCTATGTTACTTGACCTGTTTTAAAATTTTTAGATTTGCAAACTTTCGATATGTGGCCTTTTTTACCACACGCAGAGCATTCTTCATTGCACTTATTGCGCACATGACGGCCTTCCCAACCGTAGCAATTCGAATATTCTCTTATTTTTTCTTGTAGTTCCTTCTCATGATTTGGCAGTCGGTATTCTCGTGTCGGGCAAATCCCAATTTGTGCGTAGTCTCCCCTGCAGCTGTAGTTTTGTGATATCTTAACCTCTTTTGCCGTAATTATTTGTTGCTTCCATGGCTTGCCCAATTTTAAATGCTTCATCGCAAATGTCAGAAGATTTTAAGAGAAATTGTTCGATTAACATTCGGTCTAGAAATTCCCCATATTTACAGAAGGTTGCTTCTTGACGCAGTCGCAATGAAAAATTGGCAATCGTTTCATCATTTTCTTGGTTAATTTGGCGAAATTTAATACTTTCTGCGAACTTGTTTTTAGATTTGTCAAAATGTTTGATTAAAGTTTCTTTTATTTGATTGTATGATAGATCTTCTGGATTTTGAGGACTGATGAGTATTTTGAGAGCGTTGTTTAACTTTGTGCCCATATAAACGCGTGCGTAATTATGATATTCTGTTTGTGGTACCTTGCTTAGTTGCAGCGCCCAGTCGAAGCGTTTAAAGTAATTGTCCACTGTCGTTAATTCCGACGACTTGTACTTCTTTGCAACAAAATGTGGTGGTTTTGAGTTTTGTGCTTCCGAAAAATTTTGCATTGAGTTATTGGCTTTTTTAATCGCATCGGCAAATATATTGGTGTAAGTACTTCGGATTCTGTTGCCATTTTTTTCTTAAACTTGCTTTTTGTCTTGCACTGTTTAAAATTTCATGACCATTTTAACACTAAATTAACACCAAACATGGTCTATATCGATACAAACCAAAATGGTGTTAAATAAGGTTCGCTGGCCGGTGTAATTTCAAATACTAAAATGGTGTTAATTTAACTTTCACACAGTATTAAAATAAATTTTAATTGGTGTTAAATGAACTCCTTTTCAGTTTTAAATATTATGTGTTTGTGGACAAATTAAATCATACTACACAGAAAAAAGGAAAAAAAAAGGAAACAGGAAGTTCCTTGACGCATTACTAGTATATTACCAGTGGTATTATTCCAGAAAATGGAACCTTCAACTCGCTAGAGATAATATTTTTAGTGCGTTGCACTAACTTAAAATACTTAAAGTATTGACAGCTGTTTCCACCTATTTAAGGTATCTTTAGTATCGAACAACTTGTAGTGTCACACCAAAGCAAAGGATTACCTAAGTTTATATATTCTTCATGTAAGTCAACAGAGGCGAGATTTAAGAACATCACGTGATCCACACCGCCTTTGCCGCGATCGGTACACATTTTCAACCATAATTCGTGGTGTTATATTAACACCGCTTGGTGTTGGATTTTGACACCATTTTAAGATTACTTTTTACACCACAGATATTTTAAACAGTGTGGTATGGATTTGGTCGCTACTTCTGACATCACTGTTGTATCAGCGCTTTTCAATATAATAATAACTCGTGAACATTATTTATTCTAATTTATTGACTTTTAAACCTCACAAATTACAATTCATAAATTTCTCCCGGTATGTTATTTCCGTGGTAATATTTTAATATCCAAAAGATATTAAAGACTATATCCTTTATTTTGACATTTACGGTCGTATTTACCAAGCGTTGTTAAATATTTAACTGTGCGGTAAATAGGTAACAGCAAGTTAAATGCGTACAAACGCATTCACCAATCGTCATTAGGACTAAAGGTGGTTTAAACGTTAACTTGACTAGAGGAAATCAATTAGGCAAGTTTGTTAAAGAAGCGATTTGCGTACTTTTTGACGTTAGTTAACAATTATTTTAGTTGTGTTTTGGCATCCTTTAGAATTACATAAGTATAATATTACTATATCATAATAATTAAAGTGCTTAAAAATAATGGAAGGATTGGAACTGATCAACCGTTTTGTTGACGTCAGCAGTTCATCGTCTGATGAAGAGCAACGGCCGAGAGTTGTAAAAGAACGAAATAATTTATTTGACGAGTTAGACGATTATGAATTTAGACGACAATTTCGAATGGGCAAGGACAGCGTGTCGAGACTTTCGCACCTTTGAGAATAACAATATGAAAATAACTTTCAACAATATTTAACAAATTTTCTTTTTCTCGTTTACTTAAGTTTTTGCCTCTGCTTTTTTTTGTTTTTAGGTTGCATTCAGTCTCCATTGTATTCAATTACTGTTTAACTAATAAAATATCACTTTTTGTTACACTTTTAATACCCTAAAACCATTGATCAACGCTAAAACACAGAACATAAAACCCTAACCTAACTTGTTTTGTTTAAGTGTCACAATTTTATACAAGAAATTGACCGACTGTAGAGAAAATAATAAAAACATCGATCCGACACTTTTAACTAATCATTTCTTAACAAACGAATTAAATAGCTTGATGAATACGTAAAACTTTTAAGGCTGCGTTATAAATTTACAAATCTTTACTTAACGCCCATTTTAACTAAATTTGGTGAATACGGCCGTTAATAAATCAGTTGTCAAGTTTTATTAGACGTACTTGTGCCAATATTTAAATCAGGAAGAAAATCGGCAAAAAGTTTGTGCTCCATGCGGAAAGAAGATTGTTTTTGGGAAGAAAAAAGTAGATTTTTTCCATTTAAATGAAAAGCACGTTGATCTCATCAAAACTTATATAAATTTTTCCCTTAAGCATATGCGTTACTTGCAGACTTACTTTAGCTGATCATGAGAAAGGTATTGTTAAAAGACATTTACTGGTGATGCCTAATTATGAAGACATTCAACTAATAAAAGTTACAAGAGGTTCTGAGATCAGTCCACAAATATGCTATTGTTACATTTGTTTAATAGGCCATCGGCCACATAAAGGTTCACAAAGGTAGGAGTCACAAGCGTCAAAGTATGTGTAATAAAATCGAAGCATCCAATGGAATATATGCAACTGATTCAAGTAATGGTGAATATTCAAAAATTACAAAGATTGAAAAGAGAGTAGATAATGCAATAAAATTATGCAAAAATTGTTTTGAAGAACTCCATAATTATTATTATATAAGGGGAAGCAACATTTATGTAGACATTCTATTAGGCCTAAAATTAGCAATGTGAACGTTTTCGCTTGGAAGAATATTTCGCTACTAGTAAAAAAAATTCCTGAAAAACAGAAAATGCAAACAGCGCATTCCATCTTAAAGGAAAACTTACAAATATCAAGTAAGAAAAATATTGACCTAAAATTAAGTACAAAGGGTAGAAGCCAAAAAATTGTTTTCAGTAAGCAGATTGAGAAACAAGTACGTTTTTCACCTGAAAGTTTAGACAATTTTCAAACAAGTACTGGAACCTCAGCGAATCATATGAGAAAACTTACAAATTTTATACGAAGTAATGCTGGAAGATATTTTATATCAATAGATTATCGAACACATGTACCTAAAAAATCTAGAACTTTAGAAAATGTATATAAGTCTGGCGAGTTTGAATTTGTTACTGAAAAAATAAACCGAAGCAGAAAAGAGCTGTAATTTGGGCTGATGCAGAAGAATTGTTAGACTCCGTATGTGAACAAAGTAAGCTTATTAAATTAAAATTATATCAGATGGTTCTTTAAGATTTTCATGACTATCCTTCCAGAAAATTATACAAATATAATAAATCTCAGAATAATCAAAGTAGTGGTGAAGAAGATAATTTTGAATACCCTATAAAAAAAGAAAATTCTATTTGGAAGGTGGCAGTGCAGGTCTCAAAGCAAAATTGACAAGCGTCCATCGCTTAATAATGCTGTTTTTTGTACCTGCCATTCAAGAAACATGATAATATGAAGCTACTCTTTGAATTGACTAACATTAATAATATACCGTTTAAATTCGTATCGAACTTTAAATTTCTTTTGATTGTCAATGGCCAACAAACAGCTACGTCAACATGCCCTTGTCCTTATTGCTTCATAACTTTAAATGATCTAAGAAATTCTGAGAGCGTAAATAATAGCGGGGAGCACAATATTGAGACGGATGCCGATCAAGGAAAACTATGCAGTGGATTTGAAACTCTAAAGACTTACGGAGACATAGAAAAGATTACAATTCCTTTTCCTCGATGCACAAGAAAAAGAGAAATGCTAATTGTTGCCATGGTACTGTTAATCTGCCTCTTTTGCCGATTGAAAAGTGCATTGTTCCGAACTTCAAATTTTATCAACCACATTTTTTGGGATGGCTTAGTTCCTTTTATTGGTAGAGAGAAAGCTCTCTTATGACTGAAAAAGTTATTACCAAAGACTACCATGGTGAGATATTTGAAGGTAATGCTTGCAGAAAACTTTTGAAAGAGAGTGCTACATAAGTTATCAGATCCAGAAATTTGTAATGATATTGGAATAGTACGAATTGTACCTTTTATAAATGCTCTGAGAGCAATGAATAAAGTGGTTAATTGCTGTTTTTCAGCAAAACATATAGGGCCGGATTTAGATTCACATATCAAAGAATTAAAAACAGTCTACAAAGCAATGGAATTATCCGAAACGCTTGAGGTCCACGTTATTTTAAGCCATATTAAGCAATATTTGCATTTTTTGGTCAGAACAAGCAGGTGAATCGATTCATCGAGAATTCCTCAAGTTCTGGCATAAATATAAAATTAATTTGTTAAATAATAATAATAATAATAATAAAGGTCTTTATTGAAATAAATGATCCGACTTAACAACTGAGGTTAAATAATGCTGTCGTGAAATTTTCATCTCGTCACATATGAATTGTTATAATTAAAGTCTTTAATTTTGTTTTTGAGATTGTGTTTTAAGTTTTTTAAGTAGTTAATAGTACTAATATTATATAGAAAATAAAATGTATTTTAAAAATATGTTGGTTTTTTAATCGTGCATGTTTTATGTTAAGATATAAGAATATTTTAATATTTTACTTAAAAAAATCAGTTAGAAATAATCTTGTGAATGCTTATTTATATTTATTAAGCATCCTTTATATCCAGAAGAACTCTTGATAATGAGGACCTGATTTGATTTTATTATATAGGTACATACACACACACATACAAAAGTACACTCTCTCGCGCGCCTGGCGCTCATCTTCAATATTGAGATATTCGTGCAGATTTCTAAAAAAAGAGCTGATCCGATTTTGGTTTATGAAGACTTTTTATTCTAGACGTAAAGACGAGCCAATCTACGTGGTAATTTGCCCAGTGTTTTCTCAGGTGATTTGTTAAAAAATGTTAAAGAATTGACATAGAATCTTTTAAACCATGTTATAAGATTCCAAAAATTCCAACCTCGCAAACCTAATAAAAAAAAATATAGGCTATTTTTGATTGACGCGCATTTGTAAAATTTTAACCAAAAAAAAATAACCTATTCAAAATAAACTATTCACTTTAGGTATGGAACAGTAATTTTAATCAGAATTTTATGTAGAATTTAAAAATGTAAAAATATATGGGGTGTTTTATTTAAAATAACAAAGTTGATCACTTCCGTATAAACCGAAAGTAGCATTTTGTTTAAAATATTTTAGAAAAATATACTTATAAAATACTTATTAAATGGATCAGAAACAATAGGTTTTCTACTTTACGCTAGTAGTAGGCAACCAATATTGCAAAGACATAAATGCCTTTAAATCTCGCCACCGAGCCGAGCTCGAAGCGCGTCTCCCGAATGGTATGGTCCAATGACTAATGCACCATACCCACCAATACTGACAGACAGAATGTTTCGACCTGTTGGGTCTCATCAGTGTCAGGCAGTCGGTGACGGGAGACCCGCACCTCGGCACTGTTCACTGCTTTTATTGTATTAAGCTGCTTTATTTTATTGTAAGATCTATAATTATTTATTAATGGATCAGTATATTCGTGATTTCGAGGATACCCAAATTAAAATATACTCTCTTCAAGATGCAAAAGAATGTAATGAGGTACTTAAAATTAATTCTAAGGTAAGCAATTTTACTGTTTTTCATTCTAATATTAGCTGCTTTATTTTATTGTAAGATCTATAATTATTTATTAATGGATCAGTATATACGTGATTTCGAGGATACCCAAATAAAAACATACTCTCTTCAAGATGCAAAAGAATGTAATGAGGTACTTAAAATTAATTCTAAGGTAAGCAATTTTACTGTTTTTTATTCTAATATTAGAAGTATATCAAAAAATTTTGATGAATTTGCAATTTTTTTGGATCAAATTGGCATGGACTTTGATTGCATTGTATTGTCTGAAACATGGAAAGTACAGAGTACTGCACCTTTTATCCTATCAGGTTACACAATGATTTATAACGAAGGAAATCTTAACCAAAATGATGGTGTAATAATTTATATAAAAGATAACTTTATATTTTCTCACAAATTAATCCCATTCATGGGCGTAGCGAGCACCCCATGACTGGGGGGGTGAAACACTCAAAATTGCCGACTGATAATTTATAATTTGCTGACTTGTTTACTGACTAACTAGATATAATTTTTAAAATTTGGGTAATTTTGAAAATCAATAAATAAAATTAACTTAAAATTTATTTTTATTTATTTTAGACCATCTTTTTAATAGTTTTTCCAAAACAATAGAGTAATTGCATCAAAAATGAAAATCCCTAAAAACCTTTTTAATGTAATCTAGACACATTGCGAAAATACTTTTTTATGTTCCAAAAGTTCAACCCGGCCCCAAAATATCAAATTGAAAAAAGGTACTTTTCAAACGTTCCCGAACTCCCGCTATATTGCATGACAGCATAAAGCTACACCAGTGTCAGAAATCAAGATGTCAACAAATAATAAACACCGATAAAGTTTATGTTTAACATGGAAAATTGGTTGTAAATATTGTTTTGTGCCTTGTACAAATAGAACCTGGAAAACTCCTGGGAAAAGGTTTATCACCGTGTCAAAAGGAAAAATAAGGATAAACTGGATTAAAATAGCTCGGCGCGATATCAAAACATCGTCACCGCAGTCAACATTTTATTGCTGCGAGGATCATTTTAATGTAAGTAAAATATAATGTCCTTTACTAGGTATATGGTTGGAATAGGTATGTTA